ATGGGTCAGGATCTAAAGCGGCAAAATATCTAGCTAGGCATATTAAAAGACTATTAGTGCAGTTCATAAAAATAGATATCCATTAACAGACCAAATGTTGTTTAATCCAGAGGAAATTCAAAACGTGTTCTGTGATTGCTGCCGAAAAATATATTCACAACCCCCAGCAAAATGTGCATTGGAAATAAGAAAATTTCTCTAGCTTCTGGATTTACCGGCTGTAGAAGAGTTGCAAAATAGAAAACCGCTCTCAGAAATTACAACAAAGGAACTACTTAGTGCAATAGGCAAAATGAAAATGGACAAAGCAAATGGCATAAGACCTTTAGGGAGGAACGTCTCCAATTCTCCTAAAATCTCTCAATGAAACCATGACCTCGATACTCTTTAAACAGATGGAAAACCTCATACCTGAGTTGATAGATGAAGATCAGTCTGGTTTTATTCAAGGTTGACAGGCTTAAGAGAATATAAGGCATATCCTTCACTTAATCAATCATGCTCATGAAACAAAATTGGAAATGCTATCAGTAAGTCTGGACACAGAAAGGCATTTGATTGTGTTAGTTGGACGTTCTTGTACAAAGTCTTAGAAAAATTTGAATTTCAACCTCAATATACACAGTGTATTAAAGGTCTTTATAGAGATAAAATTACAAGGTCATTTAACCAGCTGTTTTGCTTTACAACGAAGAACCTGCCAGGGATGCTGCCTCAGCCCAACACTGTTTGCTCTCTTCATAGAGCCATTGGCACAACCGATAAGACAAAATGACGGCATAAAAAAATTGAAGTAGGAGGACAAGAATAAATGGTGGCGTTGTTTGTGGACAATGTCATAGTGGCACTTTGCGAGCCAGACAGAAACTTCCTGAGGCTATTGAAATTGCTAGAGGAATTTGTTAAATACTCTGGCTACAAACTTAATGTAAACAAAACTCAAACTCTGGCTATAATTTACTCTCCCTCTTCATTAATCAGCAAACAACACAGATTAAAATGGAAGACTAAATCTACTACATATCTTGGCATGATAATAACAAAATCTTTTAAGGAATTTAATTATTACAAAATTAATGATCACATTAAGCTTGGTATCAGGCAGCAGGCAGCATTCAACTTACATTCCGATTTGATATAATCAGAATGAATATTTTCCCTAAGATTACTCTTCTATTTATGTATATTAATCTATTCCAGTCAATACCTTTCACTATCCCTGACACTCAATTTAGGCATTGGAACAAAAGTATATCTAGATTTATCTGGGCTGGCAAGAGACTAAGAATGCATTAAAACACTCCATTTGAGGAGTTTGAGGCAGTATTTTTTTTGCTGCTCAGATGAGGTTTTTAGTCTGTGCATGTTGGCCTTATTACAAATCAAATGGAAAATAATAGAAACTAAAGCTGAGTCATTTTCAATTCAATCTGCGTTAGGGGATACAGAGTAAGTTTGTAAGTTAGTTCAGTCTGGAAGAATATATTGGGTTGCTTGACTGACCTGCATTTGATTGTAAACCTCATCCAAAAATTAGGGAAGGAGTTTTTAAAAAATGTAAAACAAGGCTATAACAGCACTATGTACATTAATGCAAAAAAGGCAATTTAAAAGGACTACGAGAGGAATTTAATCTAGATCAGCTAGACTTCTTTAGATATCTACATGTAAGGGATTGCTATTTAACAAAAATAAAGCCAGTGTTACCCTTAGGAGACAAAATATTTTAGCTGAAGCCTACAAGAAAAAAAATTTCTCTGGGGAAGAAGAATTGAAGATCCAAAAACTACAAATATTTAGCTAGAAGTTTGTTTTTTCATCACACCACAAATTAGGAGCAGATTCTCAGAATCATTGGAGCCGTGGTAGAGGCAGTGTGGGGACCTGTGTGCCAATTACACCCATATCTTTTGAACAACAAAAAAAAAAGGCCATTTTGGATAAAATTCAAATTTAACTGTATAAATTACTTAGATATAAAATACCTAAGTGCGAAGATCTTTCTTTTTTGTCATTTTAGCAAGGCTTTTGTTAATTGCTTGTAAAAAGTCAATAAGCAGAAGATGCTACAAAGCTGAATCACCAAATTTAGATCACTTCAACAGGGATATCAAATGGTATTTATATTTTGGAAAAGATAACTTTTCAGCTCAGATTAAGGGGAGAGAAGTTTCATAAAAAATGGCAAAAAATGACTTCCTACCTTCAAGGGACTCAGGATGCTGAGGATAAAAATTACTTATGATGTGTACTGTACAGATCATCATATGGACTTGTGAGCCCAGGCTCACACAGTGCTACTTTGCAAGCCATTTAGACCATTTAGATCAGAAAAAAAATCTTAAATAAATAAACAAACCTGCCACTCCATATGAACAGCAATATTAAACGGTTTTCGTAAAGCCATCCTAGGTGGGCTAGAACCAATCCCAGCTGTCCGGCAGGAGGCAGAGTACACCCTATACAGTACACCAGCCATTGAGGTGACAATGCTAACCACACCACTGCACTGTAAAATTGTTAATTAACTGATTAATTTTGGATTCCATCTATAACAATGTTTTCTTTAATAAACTTTTTTTTCAATATAGTCATATACCATTGTGAAAGACTGAAGTTGGTTATTAAGAACAAGAAAAAAACGTAATTTAAGGTATGTGTTAGCACATGTAGTCTAGAATTTGCATGGGGATATGGATGGGCTACCATTCGGAAATATTCAAAATACTATACATATTATGTTTTGCATCAGATTATTGTCTTAAAATTAAATCTTGCTTTTGTTTTGGTTCAGTGAGTGAGTGGGTGCCTATATGACCTGTTGGTATGATGTTCTTTTTATGAAATCCTGTATTAGTTTTATGCCAGATATAGCTGGTCTCAAGCCTTCTAAAAGTCTTTGTCTTGTTAGTCCATAGATTCATTAAGATGGGGGTTTTTCTTTGTTTGTTTGTTTTGCTTTTGTCATGTGTGATGAGTTCTTGTATTCTTTTTGGTATCTTTTTTGGTCAACGGTGTGGTTTTTTTGCCCATTCTCCCATGGATACTATAGATATCATTTTTGCCCAGTATCTTTCTTATTGTTGAATCACAAACAGTGATCTTAACTGAGACAAAATAAGGCCTGCAGTTCTTTATATGTTGTTAAGTGTTCTTTTGTGACCTCCTAAAAGAGTCTTTGGCTGTGTTGGAGTACGCATTTTGAGACCTATTACGTCACAGTGACACGACGACAGCTGTCCCAATCCGAAGTGTACTCCAAAATGCAACTTGAATCTTTACTGAAGCTCAGTATTTGACACAGAGTTCATGCTCACTGCTCTAATATATCATAATAATCTGAGAATGAATATAATATTGTCCATATTATATTTACATTAAAGTGAGATGATTTTAGTCTCATGAACAACATTAGCTAATTGTTATTTACTAGCTAATCTTGAAATGACTGTTCAGTACAGAAATGAAGCCCAACAATTATGTTTTTACAGTCCCGTGGTCTCAGCCTCAGATACGCAACTAATCAAAGTGATGTCATAAAAATGAATGAACAACAAAACATTTTTTCTCCTTCATTTCTGTCAAACAATGCTGTATGAAACGTTTCTCGCGGTTAGTATCATGGTTGCTAGGGAACCTGAGCAGGCTAGACCGTCCCATTTCACAAGCCTCTCACTTCCGCACTTCTCGTACTTCCTAGTACACGCCGTACCTAGTACACAAACTGCGCGTACTCCGAAGCATACGGTCGCTGGATTGGGACACAGCCACTATTGTAGTCTTAGAGTCATTTTGGTCTCAATGTAATTGACTGGTGTCCCAAGTGCATTAATGCATTTCAGTCCAACAGTGACAAGTTTAATCGATGTATCATTTGTTTGGCCGTAGTCCTGAACTCTCTGAGGCAGACGGAGCTCGCGGCCAGCCTCAAGAAGTGTGCAGTTGGATGGAAGGTGGTACAGTATCTGTGGTACCATTTTGGGAGGAGGGCAGGTGCACCCCAGAACAGACAAAGCAGCAGGGATCACATCCTGCTCAGACCCCAAGAACAAAAAAAAGGTGACTAGTTTCTTGGGACTGGCTGGTATTACCGTCAGTTCATGTAGAACTCAGCAGGGATGACCAGCCCCATGACAGACCTCACCTGAAAGGGTGCCCCAGATCCAGTGTTCGTGCAGGTAAGTAGGGGTCTATTTTTGCAACCCATATTCCACATTCCTGACTTTTCTCTCACTTTCATCCTGCAGACCGATGCCTTGAACAGGGGTCTGGGGTGTATTTTGTCCAAGCAGTTGGGGTTGATTGCCTGCCTGCATATCAGGTCCTTTTGTATCACATCACTCAGTTGACTTTGTCAATGAGAAATATTTAAAAATAAGATTTTATTTGGAACATCTACACTAACTTGTTGTACTGTGGATCATGACAAGAAATGCTAAGCTTAAAACTTACCAAAGAGCCATCTGGTTTGTAGTGTCACTACAATCAGGCTCCACACCATAATTAAAATGTTTATTTTCCACAATGGAAATTAATATTTACCTATGGTCATGTTGCGGGAAGCTGCCTAACTTACTCTAGCCATAGCAACAATATACTTGAATGTCTTGTAAAAATATATAACACAAAAAGACTACTGTGACTAAAACACTGTTGGTGAAAACCCACATGCATTATTTCCAGCTCATAATCATGACAGTGCTGTATGAAGTATCACTGCTCCAAGTTGATCAAGTAAAAGATAGACAAAGACTTTAATTTCCTGGTTAAAAGTATCAAAGGCATTAAATGTCAAAATCCATTTTGGTCTATGGCTTGTTTTTTTATTTCCTATTTATATTGAATTAACAACTACTTATCCCCTTCTTTTCTTGCATTTTCAAACGAATATGAATAGAATAAATTATATACACTGAATAGAGTCCTTTCATGTTATATATTTTTATTCATGACTGAGTAAATGCTTATCCTCGTGCATAAAGCGATAAAGCAGGACTTGCCTGTGGAGATAGCCCATTGCTGACAGGGTTGACATGGTTACTAGGAGTACTAGAGTTCATGAAGGTATCAGTGTAGCTGGAGAAGCTGTGCCGGTTGGTTGCCAGACCATAGGCAGTGCTGCCGTCAGAACTTGATAAACCACTCTGGTGCATGGTGGAAGGAGGTAAGGGTTGGGGACGGTGAACAGTAGCCCCACCATCTGAAAAGTAAAACACTTCACACATTGGTTCCTTCCTTTATGTAAATAAGACACTAGCTAGGCTAGGCTACCTGTTCTACCAGTTTGTATACCAGATGAGAAAAAACACATTCCCGAACATATATATATTTAACACCAACATATAAACAACGCAAGTTTGACAACTTAAGTACACCACCATGATGCCCCCACAGTATGTTGAACAGAGACCTGCATAGTGTGGATGTGATACCAAATAGGCTTAATTGGAGGCTTCTGTATCTACTTTAGGATGTCTTTACAACTAAACACAACAGGGAAAACTGGGTTAAACCTGACTGACATTTTGATAGTTACAATTACAAATATTTCCAACAGCAGGTTGTATCACACCTCTCTCTCCGTCTGGGAATTTTTCAGCTTTTTCCAAAATCTACCAAACCAAAATTCATAAACCTTGGAGCAGTGGCAGAGGACGGGCAAAGGAACAACCTGGCATGGAGATTTTGTTTTGTTAAAACTGCAAAATATGCATTGACGTTGGTAGACAATACAGTTTCTTAATGCTTTTCAATACAGTACTAATTCTGTGAGTGCTTTGATGACACGCTAACATTAATTGGGAATGGCATACTCTCTGCAATCAGTTTTTTATTCTGTGAAACCACCTAATAAGTCATTCTTATAATTGAAACAATACTTTTATTCTGAGGCAATATGCTTTAATGTACTAGATAGAGGACAACACTGCAGTTTCTTCTGCTAGAGATAAGACATTATTGGCATATCAGGACCTCTTCCAGAGAAAAACTTAAATTGATCATTAAATTGTTCCATGCATCCAGTCAAAAAAAAACACACACACACACACACACACACACAAAAGACCCAGCAATATAGGTGTAAAAGTGCCTATCATGAATCATTATTTGTTGGTAAGAACATGGCCAAAATAGCATAGTATCCACGAACTCCTTAGGAAAACCTATAGGTCACATTTGTAATCTGTCAGTGAAAGGATTATCTGTTCTACCTTGAGTGTTGGTCGGGTAGTTGGATTCTGGCAGCTGATATGTAGGAAGTGTTGGCATCCCTGCAGGAGGAAATCCACCTGGCAGAAGGTGATTGAATGCTGCAAGTTGATTGGCTCCTGCTTGTTTTCGCCACCTGGCCCTTCGATTGCTAAACCACACCTTGAAAGAGAAATATATATAAATAAGCTGGAAGGAAAACACCAAAAATGATAAATGGCCTGTATTTGTATAGCGCTTTACTAGTCCCTAAGGACCCCAAAGCGCTTTACACATCCAGTCACACACTGGTGATGGCAAGCTACATTGCCACCCTGGGGTGCACTGACAGAGGTGAGGCTGCCGGACACTGGCGCCACCGGGCCCTCTGACTACCACCAGTAGGCAACGGGTCAAGTGTCTTGCCCAAGGACACAATGATCGAGACTGTCCAAGCCGGGGCTCGAACCGACAACCTTCCGATTACAAGGCGAACTCCCAACTCTTGAGTCAGCTGAATAGCTGAATTTAAAATCAGCAAGAATTTGCACATTTACATTGATTCTATTCTGATGCCATGCTCTAGGTCTCACAGATTCTTCGCTGAAAGAGAATTTTACCTTTTCTCACCACAAAGTACATACAGATAGTCCTTTTGTGAAATTTCACACAGAGGGCAAGATCCACATTCAAAAGCCTATATTTCATTGTCCCGAATATCTGAAATGATTCAGGACATATAACTTACTCTAAGCATTAATATATTGGGACATGCCATCATTTCAAAGGTAAAACTTCAGCAAATTAATGTTTGTAGTGTGTGTTTCTGTGAGTAAATAAGTTTTTTTTTCATTATCCACTGTTTCTTCTTGACATTTAGTCCTGCATGTTTGTTTTCATTTCAATTAAACTATACCACTCACATGATTTAACACAGGCATACTTAACACCTACACATCTCTAGGGTCACAGCAGAAATCTTTGCATTGCTTGCAGCTTTCTACCTGCCCACTTTTTCCAGAAATCTTCTTTTTTCATTTAGTGCAAACGAAAATGTGACTATTATGTAGAGAAGCTGATTTGGACTTCTATATCTGCAGAGCAGACTTAAATTATTACAGCAGGCGTTGTTGCCTTGAGGTACTTGCGCAAAAACCGCAGAAGTAGATCATACGGTCTCACTACCTCTGTAGAAGAGACGTGACGGAAAGGAAACAGAATATGACCTATCATCATTTTAACATGATATCTTTGGATTGCTTTCTAATGCAAGGATGCATAGATGTGGAATGTATATGTTTGTACATTTATAGATACATATTTCTGGCACATTTAGAGACATATTTAAGGCTCTGTGTGTGGAACCCATGTTCCACATTCCTAACTTTTCTCTCCCTTTTATCCTGCAGACCAATGCCTTGAACAGGGGTCTGAGGGGGTATTTTGTCCAAGCAGGTGGGGTTGATTGCCTATCTACGTGTCAGGTCCTTTTGTATCACATCCCTCAGTTGACATTGTCAATGAATAAATCTTTAAATATGAGACTCAATTTGGAAAATCTACTCTGGGACAAGAAACACTAAGTTTAAAGCTTGCCATAGAGCCCTCTGGTTTGTAAGATTTCCTCAGTGAGAAAGTGTCTCTATAGTCAGGCTCCACACCATAATTAAAATATTTATTTTCAGGAGCGGGACCACACCTCCAAACATGTTCCTTCCGGTTGTAATCTATATAGGTTTTCCCCAGTTCTGCAAACTGTTCATTCTCGTTCATTCCCCAACCTCCCTCCCTCTTTGTTCTCAATTCTTTAACTTCTTCACTCCTATTTAGTACATGGGAATCTGCCAGGCCTGGGAGCCGTCGCCAGTCCCCTTCGAAGCCTTCCCTAAACCGCAGCTCAATTCATGTCCAACCATTCGCCTTTACCTACTAAAACGCTGTCAAACCTAAAATGAGGATGTGGGCCCAGCTAGTGAATCGAGCCTAAAGGATAATGTACCAAAGCTATCCTTGGAATTCAAAACAAAAACTGAACTTCATATCAGTTGCGCCAACATCGCTGTGGAACAAGATAAAAATCCATCATCCAAGGAAAGTCTCCACAAAACTCAATCCACTCCCTAGGCTTCCTTTCCTCCTGCTATGGCAGACCACTCCTCCACAGTGGCGCCCTGTTCCACTCCTGTATTTGCTGACCTCTGTACCCTCCAACCACCCACCAAGAACGTCACTGCAGACTCTGGAGTGACTGAAAAAATGAGATCACAGATACAAGCTGGGGAAATGAGCTTCCTCCTTAGATTGGATGGCTTCTCCCTTAGCGATAGGGTAAAGGGATTAGCGATCCAGGGGGGGCTCAGAGTAGAGCTGCTACTCTACCACATCAAAAGGACCCAGTTAAGGTGGTTCAGGCATCTGATGAGGATGCCTCTGGGAACAGTTTCCTGTGCATGTGCCCCCGAGAGGAAGTCCGAGGGCAGACCTAAGACATGCTGGACAGACTAAATCTATCAGCTGGCCTTGGAATGCATTGGTGTTCCCAGGAGAAGGCGGCTGGGGAGAGGAAGGTTTGGGCTTCTCTGCTTAGGCTGTTGCCCTCTCAACCAACCCCAGATAAGTGGAAGAAAATGGAAGGATGGATAGTTAAATTGAATTGACCTCAACAGCTGGTGAAGAGATGAATGCTTCCCTCCAAGAATGTGGACAAGTGGAAGAAGAAATTATCTGACAGATAACTAACTCAAGCAGAGAAAGCAATCCTTTTGAACGATTTTAATTTTGATGTCAAATCAAAAAAATCTCGCATTTGGAACTAATTACAGCCACAGATTCAGTAATCCAAAAGAACAACACTGTGGATGCAGAGACAGAGCAACTGCAGAGGAAAGTGTCAGCCTGTCTTAGCAACACAAGGCCCCCAACCTCCAGTATCACAGACTGTCTGATGCACTTGAAAACAGACAATGCTTCTGATCACATCTCATGCAACAGATTATACCCAAGGGAAACTATACCGAGTCAGTATGGTGTACCAGTGATACCTAAATAAGGGGGTATTTTTAAAGTTCATTGTCAGTGTGATCAATCAGTTACCTCCAACACCTCGAAGTTCCTGGCTTGAACTTTGTGGAGAAAGGGAAAGATGCTGTGAGGGCAGGAGAAATAAGTGTCTCTTACGACATTATGTCTGTCTTTACTTGTCTTCCAGCTACTGATTACATGGTAGTTTGTACACTGAAAAGAGTTAAAGAAGCAGGCACCCGATTGGTCTGTAATGAGGGTGGTCCTATTCTGAAGTGGAATCACTGTGTAATTTCTTACAAAGTCCACATAAAAGGACCAGTACTAGAAACGTAGGTGTGTCATGGATTCCATAGGCACAACCCCGTTCATTTCCAATGATTCTGACCAACTATAATAGATGTTTTTAGAACAAAATGGGTTGCTAATTGCAGCCATGCAAAATCAGTAATTTCAGTGACAATCATTCAAGCTGACTATAACTGGTTTTATTTTTTGTTTCTCCATGTTTATACATTAAGTAGTACTGAAACAATGATTTGATTTGACACACCACAAATATTTTTTAGTTACAGTCTTTGCAGTTCTCTGTTTCCCATCACTATATCTCTACCATACAGTATTTAATATTAATATATTTTTTGAAACCTTCCATGGCCTCAGCTTAAGGACACAGAAATAGTATTCAAATGTAGTGTAAAGTTATAACTAGGCCTACTTAACTGTGCCATAATCCAAAGTTACAAATTTTGTCAACATGAATGAGAAATAGTTAGCTTCAAAGCAAGTTAGAAGGTGGGCATTGAGTTGGATTTTTTTTTTTAAATTGTACTCCAGTAACTTATTCTGTGAGTAGGATGGACGTAAAATGACCATTGTCAAGTCGAGGCATACAGATAATTCTGAGGTCGGCATTTATGACCTAAGTGGCAGGCATGGAGGAGTTTCCATGCCACGCTGGTTTCTCATTGTCTCAGTTTTCTGTGACTTGATTGAGCCACTTTGCAGTTATGGCTTAAAGTTCCCCTGAGAGCGAAGACTTCCATGATCTGCTCTGATTTTTACAATGAGTGGTAGACTCTAAACTGGTGGGAAAAACAAATTCCAGCCAAGAATCTGGGAGTGAGACATGCAAGAGGAATGCAGCACCCACCCTACTGCTGAAAACTTACAGCTGTTGTTAGAACTCTACAATATTTTCCAAAAGACAACTGAGGCACTGTGAAGCTGTCAAACAGAGACCAAAGCCAGTTTCCTTAGTGGAGATGTGAACAGCTGGCAGAGTCTCCAGAAGTTAGAGAGAGTTAGTCTTGCACACTGAACAAATATATAAAACACTGTGAAAAAGTCTCACACCTCATTTCGTTATGTTTTGCTAAGAATACGGGAAACGTACAGTGATGTACTGAAAACAAACATACTTGAAAGTACAGAGTTTGTACAATTCTCATGAGATTAAAAGTCAGTATTTCTATGACCAACTTTATTGTTCATCACAGCTTGAACTGTTTTTGGCAGCCATGCCAATTAGAAACTTTGCATCGGGGTCAAAATCTGACAGTACTTTTCTGCATTCATAATTGAAATGCAGCCAGTAGTTCTTCTTTAATGTGGCATACCAGAACATTCTCTCCCACTTTCCCTTCCTTATAAATGGCTTCTTGACCATCACCTTTGTTGAGCAATAGATGAATCAACTGAAGGACCAGAACTGTCTCTCAGGTCCTGTGTCAGGTCATTTTATCCTGTTATGGACATTTCTTATATCTTTCATCTACTTTAGATTCCTTTTAAGACGTCCTATTTTTTGTACTCTAGTTGTCCAGTTTTCTCATTTTTTAAGGATTCACTCCAAAGCAAGCTGGTGAGCAAACCGATCTTTAATCATAACCTTCTTGGTGCAAAAATACAATTTTACACCTGCCAACCTGTGTTATCATTAACACAATGATATGAAAGAAAATAATGTATTTTTGTAACAAGCTACTTAGTTTGTTCATTGTTTTTATTTCATCATCATATTCCTTAGAACATTTTAAAATTCGGTCTTTGTTAAGTTGTCTGTTATGTATTGACACTGGCCAGCAAAGACAGAGGGACCATGAGGTCCCTCTGTCTTTGCTGGCCTGACCTGCCATTTCGGGGGTGGGGTTCCCTCCACCTCAAGCCCTCTTTCTCGCCCTCCTCTGTGTGTGTGTGTGGTGTTCTTTTCTTTTTGCAGCATTGGGACCTTGAAGAAGTTCCCACTCTTGAGCCACATACACTTGCTGGCAATCATACATATGCCGCTGATGTTCCCGTCAAAGGGCACTATTTAGTAGAGCGGTTGAGCTTCAATCAACACTGCATCATTGAGTGACAATAGTTAGTTGAACCCTGGCTCATCCAAAGAAGTGATCTTGTTGTGTTTCTCTTAGTGAAGGAAACTAAGCCATGGAGAGTTTTGGAGAGAGCACCAAGGTTTTTGTAAATATTTCGGAAAGAACTGTGGAGAGTGTGTTTGGGAGAAATTGCCCCACCACTGAGAAAATCACATTTTGTTGAAACTGTTTTGCACCTTGTTTTTTCACTGTAAATAACCTTACTGTAACTGTTCAGGAAGTCTTGTGACTGGGTTCTGTTACTGTGCCATTTGGCAAACCCGACAGACACAACACTGGTTCATCCTTTGAGTTAGGTGCCTTTTTATGTTTGAATGACACATAGGTCAGAGTTAGCATGCAAAACACATCTGAATATGTTCAATGGAATAGGAAAAATTAGTTAAAGAGAATTAAAAAAAAAAAAACTTTGGAAGGTTTCCAGAAACCTAAAAAACCTTTGCTCATTTTTAAAAATGACTGGACAGTCTTGCTCATTAAAAGCAAAATATAAAGAAACAAGTGATGGCTCAAGACTTCTGAATAGTACAGCAAGTTAGTAGAATATAGTAGAATGCTGCATAGTCAGCAGTAAAGGTTCTAACCAGTCTGTGTGATTTTAAAAAAGCAAATATTTTACTAATTAATCTACTGAGAATGTTGCAGCATTGTGTTCGACGACACACATGTTCTCAATAAAAAACATTATTCATGTTCTTATAGAGATGCTTTCTATCAGTCCCTCAGTTCAAGTAGTGAGTTTCAACATTTAAAATGAGTAAGTGTGTCTTTGTTTGTGGGTTTAATGTTTAAAAAAAAAAAGAGATCAAGGATGGACTTTAGAGGGAAAACCAGCACACCGCAGACCACGGGCCTCTCTGTGTGAGGATCTAAACGTATTCTACGCTAGATTCGACACAGCGAACACCATGAGACCGGACAGTGTGCGCACCGCGGATGACGTCAGTGCGCACACTGTGTCTGAGGAGGATGTGCGGAGGTGCTTCAGGAAGGTGAACGCACACAAAGCTACTGGTCCGGACGGGATTCCCGGCCGCGTCCTCAAGTCATGCGCGGCTCAGCTGGCCGGAGTGTTCACGCACATCTTCAACCTTTCCCTCTCTCTGTCTGTAGTCCCAGCCTACTTCAAAATGGCCACCATCGTCCCTGTACCCAAATCCTCCACCATCTCCTCACTGAACCACTGGCGACCTGTAGCCCTGACCCCCATCGTAAGCAAATGCTTCGAGAAGCTGGTCAGGGACTTCATCTGCTCTGCACTACCCGACTCACTGGACCCTCTACAGTTCGCATACCGCCACAACAGGTCCACTGATGATGCCATAGCCCTGACACTACATACTGCCCTGTCACACCTGGAGAAGAGAGACACGTATGTGAGAATGCTGTTTGTAGATTACAGCTCAGCATTCAATACCATCGTTCCCTCGAAGCTGGACAGGAAACTGCAGGATCTAGGACTGAGCAGCTCCCTCTGCAGCTGGATCCTTAGCTTCCTGTCTGACAGACGCCAAGTGGTCAGACTGGGCAGCATCACCTCATCCCCCGTCACACTGAACACTGGTGCTCCACAGGGGTGTGTACTGAGCCCTCTCCTGTACTCACTCTACACCTACGACTGCACGGCCACTAACAACTCCAACATCATTGTGAAGTTTGCGGACGACACTACAGTGGTGGGTCTTATCACCAACAGTGATGAGACAGCTTACAGGGAGGAGGTCAGCGCCCTGACCCACTGGTGTCAAGACAACCATCTCACCCTCAACGTCGCAAAGACAAAGGAGTTGATAGTGGACTTCCGGAGGTGCAGAGAAGTACACACCCCCATCACCATCAACGGCGCTGCTGTGGAGAGAGTGAGCAGCTTCCAGTTCCTTGGTGTACATCTGGCTGAGGATCTTACGTGGTCAGTACACACAAACAAAACAGTGAAGAAGGCGCAGCAGCGCCTCTTCTTTCTCAGGAGACTGAAAAGATTCGGCATGAGCCCCCGCATCCTCAGGACCTTCTATCACTGTGCCATTGAGAGCATCCTCACTGGATGCATCACCACCTGGTATGGCAACAGCACCGCCTACAACTGCAAAGCTCTCCAGCGAGTAGTGCGGTGCTCTGAACGGATAATTGGAGGTGAGCTTCCCTCCCTCCAAGACATCTACAGGAAGCGGTGCCTGAGGAAAGCGGGGAGGATCATCAAGGACTCCAGTCACCCCAGCCATAAACTGTTCAGACTACTTCCATCAGGAAGGAGGTTCTGCAGCATCCGGTCCCGTACCAGCAGACTGAGAGACAGCTTTTTCCATCAGGCCATCAGACTGCTGAACACTTCATAGACACCTCAGTTTCACTACTGGAACTTTAACATTATGCACTCCATACTGTACAGTAACGCCACTGTTTTGCACATGTCTCACTCTGTATATTTTATTTTATATATTTTATTTATTGTTTACTCTATTTAATTTGTAAAATATGTGTACACACACACACACACACGTAGAAAAATATTTAGTATACACATCTAGAAATGCATATACTATTATATTTATTAGTTTCAGATGTGGCCATTCTTGTATTTTGCTTGTTTACATTATTGTATTTGCACAACTCTGTTGCTTGTGAAGCTCGCACACAAGAATTTCACTCACATGTGCTGTACCAATGTACCTGCACATGTGATGTGACAATAAAAGTGATTTGATTTGATTTGATTTGAATGAAAAATAGACAGATGTAGGGTGTAACGCGTGGCTGGAGAGATCTATGGATTAATGGATAGTTGAATACTAATGCATTACCTGGACCCTGGCCTCAGTAAGTTTTGTTCTCTGGGCCAGCTCCTCCCTAGTGTAAATATCAGGATAATGTGTTCTTTCAAAAGCCTTCTCCAGCTCCTCCAGCTGCTCCGCTGTGAAAGTAGTCCGACTCCTACGCTGTTTCCTCTTCAGTGGAAGGTCAGGCTCTGATTCCACATCTGACGATTCATCCATCCGGCTGCCTGAATAAGCACAAGGTAAATACGAAGGTATTTAGAGCATTTAGGAAGACTTTAGTCATCATGTTTTTGTGAACATGTATTAATGCAGAATATTCACAGGACAACTGAGAATTACAAACAAATTGCCAAAATTTATAGTTGCAATGGGATGCTAACCATAACCTCATATTTAAAAGTCATTAGCATAAAGTTTGAACTTCCATGAAGATACCCTCTCTTCATGAACTAATTTGAAATGCTGTTAATTTATAAAGTCTGCTCTCAAAACAAAGGTTCCGCTTCAGGTTCCTTTATCTGTTCCTTTTTGTTAAACCTTGTTGTTTTACATTTTGGAATCAGAAACCTTTGCCTAGAAAAAAGAAACTGAAACTCACTATGCAAGGATGGTAAATTAAACCATTATTAATTAAGAAGAACAGGATAAGTCTTTACACTATTACTTTGGTATTATTCACTAAAATGACCTGAAATGCACTGAAACATAATTACCATTTCATGGTAATGTACAGGGTGGCCCATTTATATGGATACACCATAATAAAATGGGAATGGTTGGTGATATTAAAGTCCTGTTTGTGGCAC